GCAGAAGCTGCGAAGGTTGGTATGTGGACTAGCTTCAAAAGCTTCGAGAAATGCGACGAATAGCCATTGCCCGATTGTGGAGGGCCATCTAACACTTTCATCCCACCCCTCGCCGTCTCAGGCGGCAAAACAACCCTAAACCCTAAACCCTAAACCCCAAACCCTACTCAAAGGGGTTTAAGCCTGGGCTTCCTTCACAAGGCCCTGACTTAGAGTCAAGGGGACTTCCAGAATTGGGGAGTTTCAACGGGCTGCACGAGTGGGGTGTCCCAGTGTTTTGGGAGGGCCCAGGCAATTGTCAAAGGGGTCCCAGGCCTAAACCCTAAACCCTAAACCCTAAAACCTAAACCCCATCGTGGGTGCCACCGACCTCCTGGCTGAGGGAGGCGGGGCGAGTCATAGAGGTCGAGGGGCTTTGGCGCCGCCCCCCACTTTCGGGAGGCGGCCTTTGCTGGAGTTTAGGGCTTAGGGTTTAGGGTTCAGGGTTTAGGGTATAAGGTTTAGGGTTTAGGGTTTAGGGGAATTCGGGATTTGGGTTTCGGGTTTCGGGTTTAGGAGGTAGATACTCCGGTTCGTACCGGCCCTGTTTTGCAGGATTGCCTACCAATGACCAGATGCTTCATCTCCGTCTGAACTACGTACACCCTCAATAAAGAAAGGATATGTGCCATAACCTGGCCAGAACTATCGATTATGCAAGCCCAGCAAACCCTTAAACCCCTAAACCCTAAACCCTAAACCCTAAACCCGAAACCCTAAACCCTAAACCCTGCCTGGGACAGAGTCCGGCCTCCAGCTCCCCCAAGCCCGACCAGCTCGCTGCGAGGGCGCTTCCCCGGCGGCGGTCGAAATGGAAGGCATGCTGCGCCAGGGCCTTTCCACGGACTTGTTTAGGGTTTAGGGTTTAGGGTTTTAGGGTTTAGGGTTTAGGGTTTAGGGTTTAGGGTTTAGGGTTTAGGGTTCAGGATTTAGGGTTTAGGGTTTAGGGTTTAGGGACTTGCAGGGTATAGTGGTCCAAGGGTGCGGGGCATGTAGCAGCAGGGTTTGGGGCTTAGAGTATCAGGCTTGGGGCTTGGGGTGTTGGGTGTCGGGTATCCTTTTGGGACTCAGGGAGCCTCGTAGGTAGCTCATGAGTAGGGCTATGGGTTCTCTGAGTTGGGTTGCCCCGGCGATAACTTGATAGACTAAACCCTAAATCCTAAAACCCTAAACCCTGGACCCTAAACTCTAAACCTACTTGCCTAAGATCCCTGCGCCTGTTCCCACCAATCAGGCCCTAAACCCCTTAGGGTTTAGGGTTTAGGGTTTAGGGTTTAGGGTTTGGGGTTTAGGGTTTAGGGTTTAGGGTTTAGAGTTTAGGGTTTGTGCAGGAGTTGGGTTGGACAGCATGCTTAATGTGGGCGAGCGAGAATAGCTAGGTGTCCCGGGCAAAGGGCAAGGGACAAGGCTATCCAACCTGCTTCAACAAATGAACCATACATAACAAAGAGCCGGCACATGAAATCCCAAAGTCCTTCGAGGGTCTGGGTTGGCAGTTGGGGGTTTGGGAGACCCTGTCTGCACCTCACTGGGCGAACGAAAACAGTATATGTGACAGCGTCTGAGGTTTCCGAGGGACTTCGCAAGTAGTGATTGAGTGGGCAATTATTGAGCAGGATGACTAGCCCCAATTAAGGTCCCGTTTGGGGTACCTATACCCGCTCACGTTCTACCTACTAGATCCCCCAAGTAGGGCCCTAGACCCTAAACCCTAAACCCCAAACTCTAAACCCTAAACCCTAAAGCATGGCCCCCTCTCCTGGCCGTAGAGCTTCGGACTCTTGTCCTGAGCCCACACCCCGCTTCGGTCGAGTTATGTCTCGCAGGCGTGGGGTTCCTTCAAGGTTTAAGCGCTTAGGGTTTTGCTAGCACGCTTACTAACCCTAAACCCTAAACCCTAAACCCTAAACTCCCAACCGTTTAGGGTTTCGGTGGTAGGGCTTAAGGTTTAGGATAAGGGTCCCTTCTGCGGCTCCTTTTGCTAAGGCGCCCTACTATGTAGGGACCCAAATACGTAACCTGGGTATGGTGTGAGTGGAGACTACGGGCATGTACAAGGCCGGCTGCAAGAATCTCAGGTGTCCTAAAACAGGAGGACAACTAGGTGCTGAATTCTGGCTCCTTCGGGGGTTTCCCGAAGGGTCTCGGGGTTCGGGTGCGGGGTTTGGGGGTCATATGTTCACAGGCACCGAGACAGGTGCCACAACTTCGAGAACCCGAAGGACTAGAGCAAATGTACCCGACACATGACGACCTGACAAGCCCTGATCTCAGGCCATCAATTTCGACACCCTCAGCCCTGGCCCCCGAACTGTCAACCCTGACACCTAAGCCGCATTCCCGGCGGCCCAGGGGAAGGCTGCGTCGTCATTGAGGCTCGCAAACAGCGAGGTGGCCTGGGCTCGTTTAGAGGGCTTTTGGGGGCTTAGGGTTTCGACAACGAACCTTAAACCTCTATATCCTATGAGCGCTTCTGAGGTTTAGGGTTTAGGGTTTAGGGTTTCGGGTTTAGGGTTCAGGGTTTAGGGTAGGGCCATGACTCAGCTTGCAGGGCAACAGGAAGTCAGGACCAGCGTACCGGCTCAAACCCCTACGCCCCACAAACATCTGAGACTTACACACTGGGCCTCAAAGCTTCAATCTTCTCAGCCCTGAAGCCGAAACCAAAAAACCTTAAACCACTAAAACACGAGACCAGCATACCCGTAAACGCTCCAATCTCAAACCCTAAACCCTAACTGCATAGTCCCTCTAGTATAGGGGTCGGCATAGTTACTAGTAGAATTCCCTTATGGTCCCATCATAATTATACTGCGTTATGTCCCACAACCCTATTCTATAATATAACACTCCTATTGCGATGTTCCCTTTTATACTAACAGCCCCTGATAGGGACTGCAATAGGGGGTACTATAATCCCTATTAAGTAAGCCCTAAACCCTGAACCCTGAACCCTGAACCCTAAACCCTAAACCCTAAACCCTAAATCCTAAACCCTAAACCCTAAACCCCAAACCCTAAACCCTAAACTCTAAACCCTAACACCCTACCCCAAGGCTCCTATATGACAATCCTTGAAGCCCCAAAGCCAGGCGGCAGCCGCCGGCTCGAGGAAGCCACGAAAGAGGTACCTGGGTTGAGGGCTTACGGTTTCGGGCTTAGGGTTTAGGGTTTAGAGGGTAAAGGGTTAAGGGTTTAGGGTTTAGGGTTTAGGGTTTGGGGTTTAGGGTTTAGGGTTTAGGGTTTGTAACCCGAACCCTAAACCCTAAACCCTAAACCCTAGCCCTAAACCCCGAACCCCAGAACCCAGACTCTGAACCCCTAAGACCCCCCCCCACCCCGCCCAGAAAGAAAACACAAAACGGCGTCCACAGCCCGGAAACTCTTCAATGAATCCGAACCCAACCCCCCAGGTTTAGGGTCAACCCCCGGGTTTAGGGTCGACCCTCAACCCTAAGCCCTAAACCTAAACCCAGGTTCACCCTCAACCCTAAACTCTTCAGTGGGAGGGTTGTACACGGGGGTTGCTGCGGGGGCCTGATCCCGAAGGTTTAGTTTAGGGTTTAGGGTTTAGGGTTTAGGGTTTAGGGTTTAGGGTTTAGGGTTTAGGGTTTAGGGTTCGGGGTTCGGGGTTCGGGGTTCGGGGTTCGGGGTTCGGGGTTCGGGGTTCAGGGTTGAGGCTTTACGGACTGCAAACCTTGAAACCCCTGAGTGGCGACTGCGCGCGAGCTGCACGCCCGCAGTGGGCGCTGCTGTCTTCAGAGCGTCCAGGAAAGGCTTGCCGCTCATGACTGAAAGTCTAGGGGTTGTACCTTGGACCCTTAAGAATTGTACCCTTTGGGGACCCCTTGTTTTAAGATCTTCTAAGGTAGTATACGGGGCCACAGTCGAAGTAGATTCAGGGGAACCTCTAGGTGTACAACCTTCGGGGTACGAGTCTTCATCCCTGAGAAAGTGGCAGGGCAAGCGGCTTTGGCGAGTTGGGTCTCTTGGGTTGTAGGCCTTGGGGGTTTGGGGTTCAGGGGGTTTTTGGTTTAGGGTTTAGGGTTTAGGGTTTAGGGTTTAGGGTTTAGGTTTTGGGATTCAAACAGGTTTTGGTGGCATCGCCGGTTGACTGTGGGCAAGCTTCGCCAGTGATAACTCTTATGTTCCATGCTTCTTGTCGCACTCAAGCAGACCTCAGCCCTTGAGCTGCTGCGGCTGCTGCCGGGCGAGAAACCCTAAACCCTAAGCCCTCTAAGTTGCTACTCTCACCCAGGTGTGGGAAAGCCTTGCCCTTAAACTCCCTAGCTGACCCCAATCTGCAAGAGTTTTCCCCAAATGACGGCCCTTCCATCCTATCTTCAGGGGTCCTACGCCCAGAATTCTTAGGGTAGTTACATGATCGGGACCTCTTAGATACCCCCTATATACCCCTGAAATATTTTTTAGATACCCCTTGTTTACCCTGCACAACCCAAGGGCCCATACTTCAGAACCCTTTAAAGGAGGCACCATATGAAGGGCCCGTTTTATGACCCCTAGAGGAATGTCAAACCCAAAGCCCTTTAGGGTCCCCCCTAAGCCCTGAACCATCCTAAGCCATCTTTAAACCTTGAAGTCTTTGGGACACCCAAGAACACCAGACGGGGGCCCCTTAAAACCCTGCACCCTGGCCTATACTCTCGAAACCCTGAACCCTAAGCCCTATTAGGTTTAGGGGGCTTAAGGGGGTTCAGGGGGCTCAGGGGGTTCAGGAGGTTCAGGGGGTTTAGGGCTCATGTTTTAGGACGTCGAAGTGCAGCGCGGGAGGCTTGTAGCATGAGGAGAATCGTCCTTCAGGCTGCTGTATGTAAACTCCCACACTAACAAGCTCCAGGCTTGAAGTTCCCCTAAACCCTAAACCCTAAACCATAAACCCTAAACCCTAAACCCTAAACCCTAAACCCTATAAACCCTAAAGGCCATGCTCAGCACCCCGCCACTGTGACCCTGTAGGGTGTGCAGGCACTTGCCTGTGCTGGCGCACCTTGCCGGCCGGGGCTTAGGGTTTAGGGTTTAGGGTTTAGGGTTTAGGGTTTAGGGTTTCGGGGTTTAGGGGTTTAGGGGTTTAGGGGTTTAGGGGTCTGGGGGTCTTGGGGTGTCGGACTGGGAACGCAGGGTTTCAGGGTTTAAGGGTTTCGGGGTTTAGGGTTTAGGGTTTAGGGGTTTAGGGTTTAGGGTTTTGGGGTTTAGGGTCTTGGGGTTTAGGGTTTAGGGTTTTGGGGTTATGGTTTAGGGGTTAGGCAGGTTGAAGGGTTCAGGGGATTCTAGGGATGCGGGGCTGCTTCTATTAGGGTTTATGGTTTAGGCGTTAGGGGTTTAGGGTTTAAGGGGTGCAGGGTCTTGAGGTTTAGGGGATTTAAGGGTTCAAGGGTTCAGGGGTTTAAGGGTTCAGGATTTCAAGGGTTTAAAGGGTTCAAGGGTTCCGTGTTCAGGTCTTTGGGACTTCGGGAAAGCTTCGGGATACGCAGACGGAGCCACAGAGGGGAGCTTCCGAAAATAGAAAACCTTCCCTTGTAATAAGGACCCCAATAAGGCACCGCTCATTTCGGAAATCCCCTAAACCCTAAACCCTAAACCCCAAACCCCAGCTTTGCCTGGCCCAGCCCCTCGTGAGAATCGCCAAAACCCTCAAAACCCGAAGTTCCTGAACGGGTTTAGGGTTTAGGGTTTAGGGTTTAGGCTTTAGGGTTTCGGGTTTAGGGTTTAGGGTTTAGGGACCCCGAGCCTAAATAAACCCTGAAGAGGCTCCAGAGATCAAGCTGCACAAGAAACGCTCTGCCTACCTCTGAGGGCGGCGCAAAACTACCCTAAACCCTAAACCCTAAACCCTGAACCCCAAACCCTAAACCCTCTACCCTAAACCCTAAACCCTAAACCCTAAACCCTAAACCCTAAACCCTAAACCCTAAACCTAAACCCTCCTAAATTAAAACCCCCTGAACCCTCGAGTGCTGCACCAGATCCTGGCTTCTTCGTCGCTGGACGAGCCCACAACCTCAGGCAAACGCCGCTGAATCGAGGCCCCTTCTTCCCCCTAAGGGTTTAGGATTTAGGGTTTAGGGTTTAGGGTTTAGGGTTTAGGGTTTAGGGTTTAGGGTTTAGGGTTTAGGGTTTAGGCTTTAAGGTTGAACCTACTGGTTCTTAGTAGGGCAGGAGGTAATGAGGTACCTTATATCCCCCCATTCAAGACCTTGTCGGCGATTATACCGGTACCTACTTCCCCCATTCCCTGCCAAGAACTGGTAAGTCTTTCCTAAACCCTAAACCCTAAACCCTAAACCCAGTCTCCGGGTACCTACGTCAATATCGACCTTTACAGCCTTCGGGGGGGGTGGAGGGTACAGAGGGGTCCATGATGAAAGATGGTTAAAACATGATAAACACAATAGTAGCAACACAGAAAGAAGAAGAAAGTTTTAATAACATAATGATGAATATATTAGTAATAATCGTAATAAAAGTAAGAAATAATAATAATAGTAATAATAATAGTAATAATAATAAATATAAATACAAATAATCATAATCATACTAATAACGATAATCATAATAATACTAATAATGAGAGTAGTAATAATAACAATAACTTTTATTCTTATATTCATAACAAAATGTTGAGACCTACGGACCTACTTCCTTCCCTTAGAACCAGAATCAAAAACACAATGTGCCTAACAATACCTGCTGTTCATTCTGCTCGCAACAAATACCATACTGAACTTGGAACCCTAGCAAAACTTATAACTTTAGCTATTTCTTAGGAATTGAGCCGAGACTGCCAGCTTACCTACGAAGAGACCGCTGAACACCACAACACTGACAAACCTAAACCCCTAAACCCAAAGGCCCAAAACCCTCAACCCTTAACCCCAAACCCAAAACCCAAAACCCTAAGCCCCAAACCCTAAACCCTAAACCCTAAACCCTAAACCCTAAACCCACCACACAATACCGCCCACCGCCACCAGGCACGTTTTTTTGGCCAGTGTCTTGTGCTGGCCTCCCTGCTTTTCGCTGCATGACCTCCTTGCAGGTGTCCTGCACCCCCAAGGCCCGAAACCCTAAACCCTAAACCCTAAACCCTAAACCCTCAATTTCAAGGGCTCGCAAAAGTTGAAAGGCTCAGCAGCCGGAGGGATGGATGCCATCCTTAATGTAGAAGAAGTCCTCAGGGTCCCAGATGCTTTTTGTCTTCGCAAGCTCCGCGTACTGCGGGAAGTACGCTTGCCGGTACCTGCTGCTGCCGTCCAAGGGCCTATACTGAACTTGGAACCCTAGCAAAAACTAAGTTTTTTCCCTGGAATTATAGTGCCCAAAAATTAAAAAATCACTTCCAAGTACCCCTAAGGGGCAGGTTGATGTACCCGGATCCGGGCTTGTCTGGCCGAAGGACCTGGCCACTTCGCAGGGGGGCCCGACTCTTCTGCTAGAGCTCCTCATGGTATTTGGCCCTTTACCGGGGCCATCCTAGACCTCCGGCCCGCAAACTGATCTTAACTTTAGGGTTTCGGGTTTAGGGTTTAGGGTTTAGGGTTTAGGGTTTAGGGTTAGGGTTTCGAAACCCGAAACTGCCGTCTGGACGTGAGGCCTCGCGGTTCTGGCTAACGAAATGCCTCAGCAAGCGGGCCGTCCGCCTGGTGTTGCACTCGACCGTGACCAGCGGAAGACGCTCGAGGCCCTGGAGGGGACCCAGATTGTATCGGCAGTCCTGCAGTTTAAAGGACATATGAGATCTGAGCGACCTGATATCAAAAGCTGCAGTTTAGGGTTTATGAGTTTATGAGTTTATGGGCTTAGGGGCCGTAGGGTGTATGGGCTTTGGGCTTCTTTGATTAGATCTGAGGGGTGCAACTAAAGCAGTCATGCTGTACTTGTTCTACACAGGCGACGGTTCTCCGCCGAGCGCGCCAAGTGAAGCCTTGGTGTCCCGGCACCCCCACCGACTTATGGAACAAGCCTCCCAGCGACGCGGGTGGACGTGACCGCGCAGACAGAGTTTGGTGCACGGACGCATCCAACCAGGCATCGAAGGCAGGCACCATGAGCAACGTCTGGCGTTTCGGGCCAGGTTTGTGCCCTGGAAACGAGTCAAAAGCGAGAAAGGTCCACAGGTAATACATTTCAGCCATGATCTCCCCCGGGTTTTCCCGGCAACATGTAAGCATCGGCCATACGGAGAATTCTTTAAGTGGCAGCAGCTGTGGTCGTCGTCGTCCTAGTGGTAGTCGTGATAGTGGTAGTGGTAGTGGTAGTGGTAGTCGTGATAGTGGTAGTGGTAGTGGTAGTGGTAGTGGTAGTGGTAGTGGTAGTGGAAGTGGTAGTGGTAGTGGTGGTGGTGGTGGTAGTAGTAGTAGTAGTAGTAGTAGTAGTAGTAACAGCAGCAGCAGCAGCAGGAGTAGTAGTAGTAGTAGTAGTAGTAGTAGTAGTAGTAGTAGTAGTAGTAGTAGTAGTAGTAGTAGTAGTAGTAGTAGTAGTAGTCGTAGTAGTAGTAGTAGTAGTAGTAGTAGTAGTAGTAGTAGTAGTAGTCGTCGTCGTAGTAGTAGTAGTAGTAGGAGTAGGAGGAGGAGGAAAAGGAGGAGGAGGAGTAAGAGTAGGAGTAGTCATACCTAGTAAGTGTGACGCCTGCTCGCTTGGTGCTGTAGAATGTTTTTGGATATCTACAAGCAACAGGCTGTTGAGCAGGTCTGGGACGCTCAGAGACGTTTTTCCATTTCGCGCACTTGTAAAAGCACCGGATGCCACCTTGACATATTGGCTAACGTATGCCGAATTCTTGTGTAGCGCGAAAACTTAAATATTCAATCGAGAACTCGGGTTGGAATCAATGTGCGGTGCCGCCTACCTGAAAGAATTGTTGGTGGGAGCTGAGCTCGGGCAGTGTGGGTGTCTGCTTTCGGGCTTTTCTGACGTGCACAGGAATGCTCAAGGATTTGCCCATCCTACTTGCAAGGGCATTTGATCTGCGAGGTTGAGGCTTTCGGGTCTTAGGCGTTCAGTATCCCTGTAAGGCTTTTGGGACTTGGGGTACATGGTGTCAGGCTTTCGGGGCGCGCAGAGGAGCTTTTGGAGATTTAGTAGTTGCTGTAGTGGGTAGTGATGATACTCGCATTTGCAGCAGCATCAAGCAGCAGAAGCAGGAAACCCGAAACCCTAAACCCGAAAACAACGAGTCCACACCTCCGCTCACAACGTCGGTTCGTCACGATACCCTGAATATAACATGGTTACTTCGGATAAACGGGGTACTAGAATGCTCTAAACCCTAAACCCTAAACCCTAAACTCTAAACCCTAAACCCTAAACCCTTCGTCACGACGGTCCTTGGCATGCTCCTGGAAGAAGCCTTCCAGAACCCGGGCGGCCTGTCGAATCTCGCTGAGCGGGTAGAAGCGGGTAAACACAGAAGCATCTTCGAAGGGGTAGAGCCTAAGTTGCTGAGTTCATAGGGTTTAGGGTTTAGGGTTTAGGATTTAGGGTTTATGGTTTAGGGTTTAGGGTTTAGGGTTTAGGGTTGCTGAGTTCCTAAGCCCCCAAAAAATGTACACTTTTAGTTCTGCAGGGGATTATGGTATCCCAAAAAGTGTACAAGGTGTACTCACTCAGCTACCTAAGGAGCCCGTAGAGCCAGGTCTCAGAATTCACGGGCAAGTTGGGCGGACTGCTGAAGTTCGTGGCCACGGTGATGTTGTTCTTCGCAATCCACGCCAGAGCTTCTTCTTCGGTCGCGGCCGCGCCGTCCGACAGAACGATCTGAAGGAACCTCCCAAACTGCCGCATGACATGCGTCGCTGAAACTATGCTGAAACTCCATGACGACACGAGACGCACTAATCACAAGAAGAACCACGAAAACAAAGACAAAAACTAAACAAAAATGAAACAACATGAACGCAAGGAACCAGCCATGTCCCAGCAAAGGGCTTCGCTGATAGAAGACGGTGTCCCATCGCGCAAGTCCAACCCAACCAAACTCTGCTTCGTCCGGCACCTTTGACAGGAGGTCCTCAAAGCTTTAAACCCTAAACCCCTAACCCCTAAACCCTAAGCCCTACACCCTAAACCCTAAACCCTAAATCCTAAACCCTAAACCCTAAACCCTAAACCCTAAACCCTAAACCCTAAGCAGGAGGTCCTCAAAGCTATTGAGCACAGCAAGGAGCAAGATGGGCCGCTCGGCGTGGTTGAGAAGGCCTTGGTAGCCCAGTAACCATCTTAGAATAACCCTAAACCCCTAAACCCGAAACGCTAAACCCTAAACCCTAAACCCTAAACCCTAAACCCTAAACCCTAAACCCTAAACCCTAAACCCTAAACCCTAAACCCTAAACCCTAAACCCAAACCTTTGGGTTGGCTACTTTACAAAAGGAACCCAGAAGCAAAAAAAAAAGTAGTGCCACTGGGCTACCACGAAGCGGACGGTAAGCTTGGTGACGATCCCGAAGCTGGACCCTGCCACGCGCATGGCTTTCCAAAGCCGGGCCTCCTGAGGGTTTAGGGTTTAGGGTTTAGGGTTTAGGGTTTAGGGTTTAGGGTTTAGGGTTTAGGGTTTAGGGTTTAGGGTCTAGGGTCTAGGGTCTAGGGTCTAGGGTTTAGGGTTAGGGTTTGGGGTTTAAAACCCCTTTGAAAAACTCTGCTATGAAGCAGGTTCCGGAAGAAGGGAAGAAAGGGAAACCCAAAAACTTCCCATGAAAAACTATTTTATGAAGCAGCTTCCCCTTAGAAGGGAAGAAAGGGAAACCCAAAAACTATCCCATGAAAAAGATTTTATGAAGTAGGTTCCCGTTACAAGAGAAGAAAGGAAAACACAAAATTGTCCCAAAGCACAAGCCAGCTTCCTCTTGCTCACTGTCAGCACTGAGGGTGCGCAAGATCCCATCCGCGGTCACCACCTCCATCTCCACAATCGACTCGTTGGCCCACGTGCTGGTGGTCTCACCCCAACCTGTACATTAAAAACAGGCATGTACATATACAGGTCTACTTGAAGGTTCAAGGGTACTTATAGAAAGGCCTATAAGTACCCCCCAAAAAAATATAACCATAGTTACCCTACTTACAACCCCCTGCTTATAAGGATCCATGAGCCTCCATGAAGATGGTAGCCCATCACGCCCACAGTGTTGCAGGTGCCATGGGTGAAGGATAAGTTCGTTGGCAGCACGTCGAAAACACTCTGGAACGTTGCGCCTGGACTCATGATCGCAACCGACTCTGTCCCACTCTTCCCGACACGATTCTCGATGGTCACGTTCGAGCCGAGCGTGCGCAAGTCCAGATTCAAAGAGCCGCGCTGAAAGCCGTCGCAGTTGTAGGTGTGCCCCGAGCTGCGGAAAGAAATGCTTAGCGAACGCTCACGGGCAAACTTTACTGCCTCCTGCACATCTTGCGAGGTTGACGGTTGCAAAATGAGCGCCGGAGTCCGCTCGCTGCACCGGACGTTGTACACATCCCAACCAAAAGTCCTGATCTCGTCATCGCACAAGACGCGCCCAGTGAGCCATGTCGCTGAACGTAGTTGCTCGCAAAAATCAGGGTCGAAATCGTCCTGATGCGGATGTGCCTGGTGAGTAATGGGCACCGATGATGATTCGATGCCACATGTTTCTTGCGACCATGCTACTTTCACAGTGCAGATTTTGGACAAATTCTCAGCATCAGTTATGCGATATCACCCCCAGAACCCGGTTCGGCAACACTGCAAAAACCTAGGTTCTCAAAGCCCCATGAAACCAAAAAAGAGCAAGCACCTGCATAAACCGTTGCTGCGCACAGAGCGAGCTCTATGTACTTCAAAGCATCACCACAACAGTTCTTTTGTTCACGTGCCTCTTGGAACTGCAGCATCTCCACAACATCCTCCACCACTTCGTCATGGCATGAGGCGCTGCTTGAATCACAAGTGGCCACACCCCGTGAAAGCAAACATGTCACGGCAATCAGCGCGGGGAGCATGGCACTCGCTCACTCGTGGCCACCCGAAGGCGAACAGTGGCGCCAACTGTAATAATAATAACAATAATAATGATAATGATAGTAATAGTAGTCATCATAATCATCATAATAACAATAACAATAATAGCAATAATAATAATAATCATTGTTATCGTCATGGTAGCAACAATCGTAATAAATGTAATAAAAATATCTCTTCAACTGCCGCTGCAGACTGCCGGCCCCTCAAGCATTGACTAAAAACAGGTTAGAAGTCTAAGGGCCCTTTGATAGAACAACCCCCCGACATGCTGGTTTTTCGAGCAGCAATAGCAGCAGACACAGTGAGTCTTCCTCACATTTGGGGGTGTACGATATTTGGGGGTACCTGAAAAAAGGGGATCCCTACCATTTGGGGCTCTATTTTGGGGGTCCTTAGTGACTCTCCTAAACCCTAAACGCTAAACCCTAAACCCTAAACCCTAAACCCCTAAACCTCTAAACCCCTAAACCCCTAAACCCCTAAACCCTATTTCACACGCTGCCATAGGTCCGACGTCTGGACTCCCACCGGCTCTGACTGCGCGACGACTGCGATACGATGGTCGGTAACCCTAAACCCTACTCAGGCCCGCTCTGCCAATCGAACGCGGACATCATCATCGAGTCTTGGGTTTAGGGTTTAGGGTTGAGGGTTTAGGGTTACGGGTTGCGGGTTTAGGGTTTGGGGTTTAGGGTTTAGGGTTTAGAGGTTTAAGGGTTTAGGGGTTTAGGGGCTTAGGGTTGAGGAATGGTAAACAAAGGCCCTCAACCTGGATTCACAAAGGGGCACTGCTGGGACCTCCGCGAACCAGCGCTCTCACAAGGGTCCCTTTAAAAGGGACCCTGACTTAGAGAACGCAATGAACCCTAATATTGGGGTCATATACCCTCTGCTACTATAATCCCTTTTTGGAAAAGATGAACCATAAACCCTTTGAGGTTTCATTTAGTCCTTGAGGGACTTAGAGAAGCACCCCTCTAAGTACCCATGACCTTGCCGGGAGGTTGTACCTGTATCAAGCGCACTGCCTTTCTACGTCCAAACCTACCGGGTCGATTTTCAATTGGTGCTTCTTTTGCGCTATGCGTAAACACATCCGCCGCCCCTGCCACGAATCAAGAAGAAGAGGCTTGTCAAGGCCAGGCAAAAAGTGAGGATCCCGACGCGACTGCCGCCAGGGCAGAATTGTCCAGTGGCCTCAAGGTTTTTCGGAGTCTGAAGGTGTGGTCTTTGGATTCAGCTGGGGAATTAGGCTTGAGCTGCTGAGGCTCTTGCAGCTCTCGGCCGCTGGGGGTTCAGGGCCTTGGGGGTTTACCTAAACCCTAAACCCTAAACCCTAAACCCTAAACCCCAAACCCTAAACCCTACCCTAAACCCAGGAATTGGGCCTTGGGGGTTTTGTCGGGGCTTTGGGGGTGCCTCTGTGTGTGTTGTGGCTCTGGGTTGTAGGATACCTAATTTCCTACGATATATATATATATATATATATATCTCTCTCTCTCTCTCTCTCTAATATCCTACGAAATATACAATAGAGAGAGAGAGATAAATAGATAGATAGATAGATATATATATATATATATATATGTACACATTTATATACATATGTGTGTATATGTATGTAAACTCTTTAAGGGTTCTGCAGGCCACAGAGGGACCAAGCCACCAGCCCTTTCTTTTTGGAGGGCGATGGGGAGGGGGGTTTGCGGTTTGGTTTAAACGTAAGTTAGGGTTTAGGGTTTAGGGTTTAGGGTTTCGGGTTTCGGGTTTAGGGTTTAGGGTTTAGGGTTTAGGGTTTAGGGTTTAGGGCCAAAGCTACATCTAATCCTACCCCACCCCCCAAACTAAGCCAAAGAAGACAAAATGACCTCAGCAACCGCATGAAATCCCTCATGAGGTCCTCACCGAAAACATCCCAAAGCCACAGCCCTTAACACTAAACCCCGACACCCCAATATCCCTAAACCCTAAACCCTAAACCCTAAACCCTAAACCCTAAACCCTAAACCCTAAACCCTAAACCCTAAACCCTGAACCCCAAAAGCTCCTAAACCGCAAACCGAGGCTTCGGCCGCGGCTCCCTGAAGTTCTCCCATGGCCCTGCCCGTCTCCGCCTCAGTTTTCAGGGTCTTACCTTGGGGCTTCTCGGGCTTTCGGGGTTTAGGGTTTAGGGGTTTAGGGTTTAGGGTTTAGGGTTTAGGGTTTAGGGGTTTAGGGTTTAGGGTTTAGGGCTTTAGGTTTAGGGCTTCGGGGTTTGGGCTTAGGGGTCTACGGGTTAAGGGGTTTCGGGTTTAGGGGTTCAAGGAAAAGGGTTTCGGGGTTCAGCATTGGGCAAACCCTAACCCTACCCCCTAAACCCTGTTCCCAATCCCAAAGTGCCGAGGGCCGGTCGCACCACAGTTGGCCCTCGCCCCCTTGCCGAGGATTTCTGTGACGTGTGAGGCTGAGGGTTTAGGGTTTACTGTTTGTGGTTTAGGGTTTGCGGTTTGCGGTTTGGTGTTTGGGGTTGGGGGTTTGGGGCTTGGGGTTTGGGGCTTGGATTGAGGATATGGCTCAACCCGAAACACTCCACCCCGACACCCCCGTCCCCTCAAGGACCCTAATCACCCCAAAAACCCCCAACCCTGAGACCCTAAGCCCTAAAAAAGCCTAAACCCTCAACCCTAAATCTCTGAAGCCTAAAGCCCCAAACCCCGAGCTCTATACTCCAAAACCTTGAATTGAAACCTTAAATTCCTAACCCGAAGACCTCCTTAAACGCCAAACCCTAAACCCTAAACCCTAAACCCTAAACCCACCTGCGGCCACAGTTAGCAGCGACCGCCCATCGGGCCTCAGGCCGGCGCAGGGTGCGGACCAAGAGACAACGTGTTTAGGGGTTTAGGGTTTAGGGTTTAGGGTTTAGGGTTTAGGGTTAAGGGGTTTAAGGGGTTTAAGGGGTTTAAGGGGCTTTAGGGTTAAGGGGTTTAACGGCTTAAGGGTTTTTAAGGGGTTTAAGGAGTTCAAGGGGTTTAAGGGGCTTAGGGGTTTAAAAGTTTAGGGGTTTAGCGGTTTCGGGGTTTAGGGGTTTATGGGGTTTAGGGGTTTAGGGTTTAGGGGTTTAAGGGCTCGGGTTTCGGGGTTTCAGGGCTTTCCCAGGCGGGGTCCCTACCCTCCGACCCCTCCCTAACGAAAATCTTGAAAGTGGATTCTTCTTGCGAGACAGACAAGGCAATGGTTTGGGTGCAGGCCTGTGAGAGCTCACAGTAGGGGGAACCGAGACGGACTGCATCAGAAACATGTGCCACCCCAAACCCGAAACCCCAAACCCCAAACCCGTAACCCCAAACCCAAAACCCCAAACCCATAAGCACGTGATTAAACCCCACACCCCAAACCCTAAACCCCAAACCCCTAAACCCCTAAGCCCTAAACCCCAAACCCCAACAGGCTTCCCGGCGCGAGGGAAGCGGAAAGGACCGGCCCATGGCTATCCAGGGCCTTAGGGAAGCAGGGTGCTTAGGGCCTCAAGGGTTTAGGGGTTTAGAGGTTTAGGGGGTTAACCCGGGCTTGGTTTCCCAGTGGTAGGGTTTAGGGTTTACGGTTTAGGGTTCAGGGTTCAGGGTTCAGGGTTTAGGGTTTAGGGTTTAGGCTTTAGGCTTTAGGCTATAGGGTTTAGGGTTTGAAACGTTTCGGGTTTAGGAAGTTTAGGGTTCAGGGTTTCGGGCCTTCCGGGACGACGCAAAGTTTCAGAGGGTTGAAGGGCTTATGCTGTTAATCGGGCTTGGGGACTGAGGGCTCCCGAACTTTTTTTGGGATTTGGGGGCTGTTTAGGGTTTGGGGTTTTAGGGTTTGGGGTTTTAGGGTTTAGGGTTTAGGGTTTCAGCCTTTGTGGGCTCATGTTTACAGTTTATGGCCGAAATGCCCCCGGAAACACTGAGACTCCCTAAGCCCTAAGTTTTAAGCCCGAAGCCCTACACCCTAGGCCCTAAACCCTGAGCCCAAGGTTTGAAGCTTCAGGGCTTTGAAGGTTTTAGGGTTTAGGGTTTAGGGTTTAGGGTTTAGGGTTTAGGGTTTAGGGTTTAGGGTTTAGGGCTGTTTTTGGGTGTTGGGGGACTTTTGGCTTTAAGGGCTAAACCCTAAACCCTCAACCCTAGGGCCTTGGGGTCTCACGGGTTGCTGCTCTAGGTTGGGTCTTTGGGTTTAGTGCGCTAGGGCTTTGAGGGTCGTAGCCGTTCGGGCGCTCAAGGCTTGGTGAGGGTTTCGGTGCCACAGAGCTTTAGAGCTTTAAAGGGTTTAGAGTTTAGGGTTCCAGGGCTTTATGCTTGCTTTATGGGTCTGGTTGAGGGCTTTAGGGCTCTAGAGGTTTTAGGGTTTGGGGCGTTAGGGGTTTAGGGTTTTAGTGTCTTGGCGGTTAGGGCTGTAGGGTTTAGGGCTTTAGGGCTTTCGGGGACTGGGGTTTTAGCGTTTGGGTACACCCGAAACCCTGAACCCTAAACCCTGAACCCTGAACCCTAAACCCCAAACCCTAAACCCTAAACCCCAAACCCCAAACCCTAAACCCTAAACCCTAAACCCCAAACCCTAAACCCTAAACCCCAAACAAACCCCAAACCCTAAACCCCTAAAGACCTGTGGGCCCGTCTGCGCCTCCTCCTCTCGGAAGCTAATGAAAGGGTTCGTCTCATCCGTCGCCTCACAGTTGGAAGCCCTTCTTTATAGGGTTTAGGGTTTAGGGTTTAGGTTTTAGGGTTTAGGGTTTAGGGTCTAGGGTTTAGGGTTTAGGGTTTAGGGCTAAGGGTTTAGGGCTTAAGGTTTAGGGTTTAGGGTTTAGGAGTGTTTAGGGTTTTGGGTTTAGGGGTAGGCGCCTGGGGAGCCTTAGGTACGGAGTAGTGGGGAGTATCCTCACAGTTGGAAGCCCTTTTTTGACTTTGCAAGTCGACTTCGTAACCCCCAGTGCTGTTTAGGGCTTAGGGTTTAGGATTTTGGTTTTAGGGTTTAGGGTTTAGGATTTAGGGCTTAGGGTTTAGGGTTTAGGGTCCCCATGGCTTACTAACCCTACTTAGCAAGTGAAAAGGGCCTCCTCACAAAAGACGCATCTCTACGAAGAGAAGGGAAACGCCGCTGATCGCCAGCTCACCTTCTTGAGCCCTAAACTCCTGAACCCTAAACCCTAAACCCTGAACCCTAAACGCTAAACCCTAAACCCTAAACCCTAAACCCTAAACCCTAAACCCTAAACCCTAAACCCTAAACCCTAAACCCTAACCCTAAACCCTAAACCCTAAACCCTTTGAAAAAAGAAAGGGGAGGCCTTGGAGTCCAGCTGCCAGAGGCGCACGGTGCCATCCAAGGACGCAGTGAGGCATCGCCTACGGTTTAGGGTTTAGGGTTTAGGGTTTAGGGTTTAGGGTTTAGGGTTTAGGGTTTAGGGTTTAGGGTTTAGGGTTTAGGGTTTAGGGGTTTAGGGTTTAGGGTTTCGGGGTTTCGGGGTTTCGGGGTTTAGGGTTTAGGGTTTAGGGGTTTACGGGTTTAGGGGTTTAGGGGTTTTAGGGGTTTAGGGGTTTAGGGGTTTAGGGTAGGTTTAGGGGTTTAGGGGTTTAGGGGTTAGGGGTTTAGGGGTTTAGGGTTAGGGTTTAGGGGTTAGGGGTTTAGTTTAGGGTTTAGGGGGTTTTTTAGGGGTTTAGGGGTTTTAGGGTTTAGCATTTCGGGTTTAAGGTATAGCTACCATAAGGGAACATATTACGGCGGGGGGGGGGTTGGCAGCTTTGGGTTTGCAAGGGGTAGGGGGGGGTGGGGGATTGGGGTTTAGGGTTTAGGGTTTGGGGCTTGGGGATTGGGGTTTGCGGTTTAGGGTTTAGGGTTCAGGGTTTAGGGTCGGGGGGGTGGGGGGGGGGGAGGTTGAGGGGGGTTTAAGGGTTTTGGGGCTTCAGGGGTTCAGGGGTTTAGGGGGGTTTAGGCGGGTTTAGGGGGTTTCGGGGTTTAGGGGTTTAGGGGTCGAGCCATGTAGGCTTTGGGTTCGGGATTGCAGGGTAGAGCCTTAGGGTTTAAGGGTTTAGGGCTAGGGCTTTTGAGCTTAGGGCTTGGTAACGTCCTACAACCTTGGGCCTGAAACTTTGAGCCCTTAAGCATTGAACCATGAAACCTTAAACTTAACCCTTAGACCCTTGACCACGCGAACCCGCAACCCCAAACCCCAAAATCCAAACTCTAAACCCCCCAGCCCCCAAACTCACAGCCCCTAAACCCCAAAATCCCAAAACCCTAAACCCCAAAATCCCAAAACCCTAAACCCCTAAACCCCTAAACCCCTAAACCCTAAACCCCAATAATCCCCCTAAACCCCAAAACTCCTAAACCCCTAAACCCTAAACCCTAAACCCCAAACCCCAAAACCCGTTCAAGAATCCGAGGCCCGAGTTCCGGGCAAAGGGCTGCGAACCAGCTGGACCTGGCCGGACAAAGCTTGGGAGGATCAAGGGTTCCAGGGTTTAGGGTTTAGGGTTTAGGGGTTAGGGTTTAGGGTTTAGGGTCTAGGGGTTAGGGTTTAGGGTTTAGGGTTTAATGAACTAAACCTTCCTTGCTGCCCCCGCAATACTGGATTCGGGATTCAGCACATGCCCCGAAACCCTAAACCCCAAACCCAAAACCCCAAACCCTAAACCCCAAACCCTAAACCCCAAACCCTAAACCCTAAACCCTAAACCCTAAACCCCCCTCTAGGCCCCCAAAGGCCCCCAACGCCCACCTGGTCGCCATCTCGGATTCCGGCCTGGCGCACAGCTGGAAACCAGCTAGAATCATTCAGGGTTTAGGGTTTAGGGTTTAGGGCTTAGGGTTTAGGGTTTCGGGTTTAGGGTTTAGGGTTTGGGGTTTGGGGTTTAGGGTGGCCAGTTACTTGGAGGTTCAGGGCACTTACTAGCCAATTGTAACTGTACTTGTAACCCACTTATAACCTTATTAGGGTTTAGGGTTTAAGGTTTAGGAATTAGGGTTCAGGCTTAGGGTTTAGGGTTTAGGGGTCTGGGTTTAGGGTTTAGGGTTTAGGGTTTAGGGTTTTGGGTTTTGGGTTTAAGGTTTAGAACCCACTTAGAAGCCCCGTGCCCGAATCTGGTCATAATTGGGTGATGAGTACAGCTATAATATAGTTGGGTTAATAAGTACCCTGAACCTCGAAGTAGAATCTAGGTTTCAAGGTGGAAAGCTTCAGTCTTAGGGGTTTTAGGGCCTTTGCGGGCGTTTTGGAGTTTAGGGTTTAGGGTTCAGGGCTTAGGGTTTAGGATTTAAGTTAAGGGCATAGGGCCAAAGGCTTAGGGCTCAGCGCTTAGGGCTTCGGGTGCGAGAGAAAGGCCTGAGGGTTTGGGGTTTGGGGCCTACCGGAATGCCCTTTTGAAGGAACGGGGAGGGCTCTCCAACCTCGAGGGGCCTACAAAGAACCCAGCACTTGAAGGCGAGGGGAAGTTACTCGGGCTTAGGGGTTTAGTGTTTTCGGGGTCAGGTTTGGGGGTTCAGAAGGCTTCTTTTTGGGTACCCAACATCGTTGTCTTAAACACGTCACCTACCTACTAAGTTCGAGACATTCCCTCTGTTTTTTACGCCCCCAAACAAACCTTCCTAATGGAGAGGGTTGTGGACACGTAGTGGGTAGTTATAAAGCAGGGTTACCAAGTATGACAATCTCAAGCAGGGGTTCCTTTTGGGTACTTACAACTCTGGTACTTACAACTCTACTTCGTACCCCTTACTACGTCCCCCGATCCTCTAAGTCGGGGCTTTCGGGGTTTAGGGTTTAGGGTTTAGGGTTTAGGGTTTAGGGTTCAGGGCTTAGGGTTGGCCTCCGAGAGAGTCATGGACTCGTCCATCAGCTGGCCCCCGTGCAGGAAGTTGATAGAGCACCTTTGCCGCAGCTCTAAGCTCCCCCGTTTAGGGTTTAGGGTTTAGGGTTTAGGGTTTAGGGTTTAGGGTTTAGGGTTTAGGGTTTAGGGTTTAGGGTTTAGGGTTTAGGGTTTAGCCACTCAATTATTTGGGGACAATGTAGATTGGAATGTATAGTTTGGGCTGTTCCATGCTGTTCCTGTGCAAAGTTTCCAGAAAGGGGGGGGTGATGATGCGGTAGTGATTCAAACTCCTGTGTGCAACCCTAGACCAACCCCTTCCAGACAAAGGCTGCAAAATTTAGGGGTCGGAATTAATTACGAATGGTATTCCCTTATGGTCCCTTTATAAGTATACTATAGTAACTCCCAATACCCCATTCTAATTGTTAAGGCCCCCGGACTGCCCTAGCCCAGCAAGAGGACATTCCATCTCACTGGCGCGCCGATGAAGGCGGGGGGCTACCTAAACACCCATCCTGAACCCTCTACATAGACATCCTAAAAAACCAGAAAGCCCCACACTCTGAACTTTAAAAAATGAAAAATAAAGAAAAATATTACCTGACTCGAACCCTACACACAGCAGGGAAACATATGGGGATGCTCGAAGGTCTCACTCACTTGTGGTGCTCTAGGCTCTCTCTCACTTGCGGCGCTCTAGGCTGAAGGCGCTACACTTTGGCGGGGTTCAGGGCCTAGGGAAAAAGAGTCAGGGGCAAAGGGCTCAAGAGGCTGAACTACCCCCCCAAGGCATCTGAGGCGGGCCACAGGCCATCCTCCTCAGAGTTCACAATCCCCTCCGACCTCGGTAGTAGACGCGACTGGGCAGTTGGGTTTTGGGGTTCTTTGGGGGAAGTGGGGGGATGGGGGGGGGCGGGGTTGGGGAGGGTTTTCGGGTGTTTGGGGGGCCCAGCTTTTGCCACTCTCAGGATGATGGTGACTTTCTCTTAAGTACCCAAATGGAACCCTAAACCCTCAAAAACCGGAAAACCAAAAAAAAACTAGCCCTAACCCTAACACCCTAAAGCACTATACCCTACCCCCCCCTCCTAAGCCCCTGTAAAGCACTATGCCCTACCTCCTAAGCCCCTGTAGAGCCTCTCCATGGGACGGCCCCGCACCCGAGCCCCCCCCCCTCAGCTTCGTGCAGGATTGCCTCCTTGAGGCGGAAGGCCGTATCACCTGAGTTTCGGGGTTTAGAGTTTAGGGTTTAGGGTTTAGGGTTTAGGGTTTAGGGTTGTCGCGGCTTATGTCCCCAGATTTGGCGCCTGAGGCACGCCGCTCGAGGGCTTGGAGCTAGGGCATTGAAAAAACCCAAAACCCTAAACCCTTAAAAGCCTTTAAACCCTAAAACCCTAGACTCCCCAAACCCTCATCACAATCGTCTTACTGGGCTAAGTTCCACAGGCCCAGACTCGGAAATCCTCAAAGGCAGCAGG